AAGAAAAGTGTGTGCAAAAATGTTCCCAAAGAAGTTCACTGAAGAACAAAAACAGAGGAGAGTTGAAGTTTGCCAAGACCTTTTGTAGAGTCAAGATATTTTGAGCCATGTTATCACTGGTGATGAAACATGGGTATTATCAATATTACCCTGAAACAAAGCATCAAAGTGCACAATTCTCCATGACCAAAAAAGTTCCATCAGTCCAGATCAATAGTCAAAATACGGCTTGGTGCTGTAGCATAGTGGTTATGGCCAGCATCAGCCACATACATGGAAGTTGGCGGGTTCAAACCCAGCCTGAGCCAAGTAAACAACAATGACGGCTGCAACCAAAAAATAGCCAGGTGTTGTGGCAGGCGCCTGTAGTCCCAGCTACTCAGGAAGCAGAGGTTAAGATAATCGCATAAGGCTCGGTGCCTGTGGCTAAAGTGGCTAAGGCGCCAGCCACATACACCTAAGGTGGTGGGTTCGAATCCAGCCCGGGCCCGCTGAACAACGATAATGGCTGCAACCAAAAAATGGCTGAGTGTTGTGGCGGACGCCTGTGGTCCCAGCTGCTTGGGAGGCGGAGGCAGGAGACTCGCTTGAGCCCAGGAGTTGGAGGTTGCTGTGAGCTTAATGCCACCGCTCTCTACCCAGGGGGACAGCTTGAGGCTCTGTCTCAAAAAAAAAAAAAAAGATAATCACTTAAGCCAGAGTGTGAGGTTGCTGTTGTGACACCACGGCACTCTACCCGGGGGGACAGAGTGAGACTCTGTCTGGAAAAAGAAAAAAAAGTCAAAGTGATGTTGCTACCCTTTTTTGATTATTCATTATGAATTTGTACTAACTGGACAGTTAACCAAGTTTATTATTTGGAATTGCTGAAAAGGCTGTGTGAAAAAGTTAGGGATGGGAGCCCAAGTCTAAACATGGAATTTTTTTATGTTTCATATACACTTTATACACATAGCCTGAAGGTAACTTTATATAATACTTACAATAATTTTGTGTATGAAAGTTTTTTTTGTTCTTTGAAACAGAGTCTCACTTTGTCAACCTCAATAGAGTGCTGTAGCTCAAACTCAAACTCTTGGTTTCAAGTGATTCTCTTGCCTCAGCCTCCCTAGTAGCTGAGATGACAGGCGCCTGCCAAAACCCTTAACTATTTTTATCAGTGTAGTCTCATTCTTGCTTAGGCTGATCTCAGACCTGTGAGCTCAGGCAGTCCACCTGCCTCGGACTCCCAGAGTTCGAGGAATACAGGTATGAGCCACCATACCTGGCTGAAACAAAATTTTTACTGCAACTCATTATATGAGATTAGATCTGAAATTTTCCACCTGTGGCATCATGTTGACACTTATAAGGTCACATTTTGTAATATTTCATATTTATGTATTAGGGATGTTTAATCTGCACAGTCACTTCACATAAAGTCCATCCAATTATCCTAATCTCATCAACCATCCATTCCCTTATCTTCCCAATCTAGTAATAGCCTTAGTTTACCAACAAGATCTTGTGTCACTAGCCTCTACCCTAAACAAAGATACTTCTTATCAGGTATGGCATAGGTTCTACTCAGCTTCTGCAGATGCTGAGACAAAGGCCAGAACTCTCTTTAGGTAAGGCCAAATTCTTTACTACATACTACCCTACATGGTTGTTGTGGCAGATAAATGAGGTGGTGCCCAAAACCTGCTTAGTACCTGACATTAATAAATGTTGGTTGACTGCTATTCTTTCTATAATATCTTGTCTATAGTATAATACACTTATATTATTGGTTATACTGTTAAAGGTATAGAAAGAATATAGGTTCCAGCAAATTTCCATAGTCATTGGCCTTTGAAGTGCCTCAATCTGGAATTCTGATTTTTTTGTTTAGTTTTCTCAATATATTATACATATGATAGAAAATGCAACAGCTTCCCTTCTGTTCTGACACATTGTTTTTGTCCTTTGTTAGTGTGCAAGGTGCTTTGCACATATAACACTTGAAGAGGCCTTATGCCAACATGAAATAGCAGTCTGTTTTTTATACATGGTGATATTGGTTTATGTAAATCTTTCTGCAATATAAACTTATATAAGAATATTGGGTTTTTGGCAGCGCCCATAGCTCAGTGGGTGGGGCACCAGCCACATACACTGAGGCTGGAGGGTTCGAATCTGGCCCGGGCCAGCTAAAAACAATGACAACTGCAACAAAAAAGATAGCTGGGCATTGTGGTGGGCAACTGTAGTCCTAGCTACTTGAGATGCTGAGGCAAGAGAATCGCTTGATCCCAAGAGCCTGAGGTTGCTGTGAGCTATGATGCCATAGCACTCT